AAAAAAAAAAAAAAAAAAAATAGCCAGGTATGGTGCCAAAAGCCTGTATTCCCAGCTTCTCAGGAGGCTAAGGCAGGAGGATCACTTGAGCTCAGGAGTTGGAGGCCTATGATCCTGCTCTGCCACCGCACTCCATCCTAGGTGACCAAGTAAGACCCTGTTGCTGGGCAGAGGGTAGGGAACAATAACATCTACTGAATAACCATTTAAAGATTAATAAAATAATGCTCCTAAAGCACTAAGCACAGCACCTGGCGCACGGGCCATTGTGCTACTATTCCTTTTCTTACTCAGCTACAGTCTATTGACCTGCCTCCTTCCAAGACACCCCAGGGAAAGACAAGATCCTATTTCTCTTAAGATCCAAATGCAAGCAAAGCCAAAGGATCAGGACTGTAGCAGGACAATTAGGAGTGGGGTAAAGGAGCAATGAGAGGAAGGCCCCCACGCCCAATCTCAGCCATACCTCTGAGAGCATGCCCCAGTAATCTCCCGTGTTTCTTCTGTATTTCCTTCATACAGAGATCTGAGCAAAGGTGGCCTCCTTAAGAAAGTGGTCCAGGAGGGCGGACTCCAGCATGGGCTTTAGAGTTAGAGAGACCAGCTCTGCCATTTACCAGAAGCACAAACTTAGGCAGACTGTTTGGCCTCTCTGAGCCTTAGCCTCTTCATTTGAGAAACGCAGGCACTACTGGAACTGATCTTAACGGGTTAGTGGGGGATTAAATGAGATAATGAAGCACTATGCACAGTTCCTGGCTCTTAATAAGGCCACAATAAGTGTCGGCTATTTGTTACGATTACAATTATCAATAACGAGCTCATCACAAGAGGGTATGCCTCAGCAGGACTTAACACACGGTCCCTCCTGGCTAACAGACGCATGCTGAACGGGGGCTCAACACCGCCGGCTCCCACGAGGGCCGCCCGGGCCGCCCGCCCCGCCCGCCCCGCCGTGCCACTCCGGCGGACCACGAGTGGGCAGCACACCCGGGGAAAGATATCGGAGACAGGCTCCGGGAGCGCACCAGGAAGATGGGAATGGCGCGTCGCCGGCTTCGCGCGGTAATGAGAGCTGCCCAGGTAGACCTCACCTAGCCCAGTAATTTCACATCCCGCCACCTGCCTTCCCTGGCCCCGGCTCCGGCCCAGGCCCAGCCCGCACTCACCCTCCACACCGCGGGCAAGAAGCCCCAGCGCCCACAGCAGTAACTGCCACCAGCCAAGAAGCCGCATGGCGCGGGGCAGGCGGCGGCTGGCGGCCGGGACCACTACCCAAGCCGAAGGGCAACGGGCGCACCGTGACGCGAGTCGCGCTCCCAGCCGGAGGAAGGCTGGGGGAGGAGAGGCGAGGAGAGGCGAGGAGCGCGGGCGCGGGCCCGTGCCGCCATCTTGGAACCTGGCAGCAGCCTCGGGCGCCATTTTGGAATCGGGCGGGCGGCCTCTGGACAGTGGCGCGCGCCGTCGGCCTAGCGGAGCCCAGCACTCGGCCTTGCAAGTTCTCTCGAACTCTGCTGACCCTAACCTAAAGTCTACAGCGGGGATCCAGCAGAGACCCGTGACCTCCTTTCTAACCCCACAAGTCAGGGCCTGGCTGCTAGGAACACAGCGCCCTTGCAGTGCTTTATTCCCAGACCCTAAAGGCCCAGAAGCTTTAATCAAGTGCCCCATCGAGGTGCAGAACTGCTGGAGGCTGTAAATGTTCACATCACTTCCTCCTCCCATGCTACCTTACCTGGAGTTGACAGAACAGGTACCCAGTTAAATTAGAATTTCACATAAATAATTTTTAACCATACATGGAACATGTCTTACAGCTGGCTATGAAGTGTCATAATAGAGCAAAAGGTGTTGATTGGTTGGTTTCACCTGCAGAGCAATCTTCCCCCTTTAACCGCCCACCAGGGCTGGGACCCTGAGCCTGGCTCTGCTGGGTCATGGTGAAGGTGGAGGCATCCCAGCATAACGCTAAGGAAGGACTTAGAATGAAGATAACCTAGAGGGGGAGGGGAAGTATGCAACTGAGAAACAGGACTCTGCATTCCCAAGCAAAGGCACAGAGGTGGAGTGTAAGAGAAAATTCCTGGAAAGAATAGAGAGGATGACCCCATTTTATTCCCAGTTACAGTATTTTGGCAGGGAGGGCCTGCTAAAATAAAATAGATCAAGTTTTGAGCAGCCAAATCAGTGGAGTGCTAAATGGTGCGGTATGGCTTTCGAATTTATTATGAGGTTAAGAAAAATGGGAATGGATTTCAAAGATCTTCACATCATTTATTGGTTAAATGGTGATGTTAAGGGAAACCTGGGCTGTTTGCTCATGTGCTGAATCTCAACTCTAGCACTTAACAGTAGTACAGGGTCAGCAGATTAGGTAACCTTTCTTTAAATTCAGTTTCTTCATCTGTAAAATGAGGATGAAATTATAGAATCATGAAAAAAATGAGATATGAGGTGATGAGTGTAGTGCCTAGTACACCGTAACACTTCAAAGTGGTAGCCATTGTTAACCAAATTATATAATTCTACCAGACCAATCATATCCCCTTGTGCCCACCAAAGAGAGACTGTTAGACCAGAAAGATGCATCATTACTTTGACCCCATAGATGATTCTTTATGTTCTAAACAGGCTACCATGGTTTTGCTACAGTAACTACTCCAGTGCTGTGGATTCAGAATAGTCTGAGACAGTGGACATGGATGCAAGAGCCCATAGTTCTAGAGCAGCGGTAGGGAACCTTTTCATGTTAAGAGGCTGCATTGATTAATGGTAATCAAATAAGGCCATATTCAAGAACTTCAAACTTAGAAATATTTTAAAATGTACATTATCTTGGACAGCGCCAGCCCCATATACCAAGGGTGGTGGGTTCAAGCCCAGCCCCAGCCAAACTGCAACAAAAAATAGCCTGGCACTCTGGCAAGTACCTATAGTCCCAGCTACTCAGGAGGCTAAGGCAAGAGAATCACCTAAGCCCAAGAACTAGAGGTTGCTGTGAGCTGTGACGCCACAGCGCTCTACCAAGGGCTATAAAGTGAGACTCTGGGCTCGGCGCCTGTGGCTCAAGTGCCTAGGGTGCCAGCCACATACACCTAAGGTGGCGGGTTCAAATCCCCAGCCCGGGCCCGCCAAACAACAATGATGGCTGCAACCAAAAAATGGCCAGGCGTTGTGGTGGGTACCTGTAGTCCCAGCTACTTGGGAGGCTGAGGCAGGAGACTCGCTTGAGCCCAGGAGTTGGACCAAGTTGCTGTGAGCATGATGCCATGGCACTCTACCAGGGGGATAGCTTGAGGCTCTGTCTCAAAAAACAATAAATAAATAAATAAAGTGAGACTCTGTCTCTATAAAAAAAAAGGGGGGGTGGCACCTGTGGCTCAAAAGAGTAGGGTGCTGGCCCTATATACCAGAGGTGGCGGATTCAAACCCAACCCCGGCCAAAAACTGCAAATAATAATAATAATAATAAATTAATTAAAATTAGACAAAAAAACTAATTTACTACGCTGGGCTTAGTGACTCATGCCTATAATCCTAGCACTGAGAGGCCAAGGCTGGTAGATCGCCTAAGCTCAGAAGCTCAAGGCCAGCCTCAACAAGAGCAAGACCCCATCTTTACTAAAAAATAGAAAAAGGCCTGTCAGGATGGCTCACACCTGCGATCTCAGAAAGGTGTACTGGTTAAGCACAGTGGGGTGGATAACTATTACTCTTTGTTTGACTTCTCTTAGGTCCTGGACAGGCCAGTAATGGTTTGTTAAATTCTTCTTGACTGGCAACAGGGGAATGGGTATTCCAGGCTGACTGGCAAGGGACTAAAATTCCAGCCTCTTTAAGCCTCTGGATATGGGACGGTATACCATTCCTTACCTTCTGAGATATAGGATATTGCCGCACTCGGGCAGACTCAGTCATTGGTTTTAGTTCTACTAGAATGGGAGGCCGATGTGAGGCTAGCCCGATTCCTCTTCTCTCAGCGCATGCCATAGGGAATTGGCGGAGCCACTCTGTTATGTCTTTGGGTGAAGAGGTTGGTTGAGGAGGCTGATATAGCCGATATTCATCTTCTAAGCAGATGGTCAATACCTGGATTGGGTGCCCTTGTTGATCAGTCACCTGGGGCCCATTTTTCTCAAAAGTGATCTGTGCTCCTATCTTGGTAAGGAGGTCACGCCCCAAGAGAGGATAAGGGCAGTCAGGGATAACCATGAATGCATGGGATACCCAGCCCATGCCTAGGTCCACAGTTCTTTGGATAGTCCATGAATACTGTTTCATGCCAGTGGCACCCTGCACCCAAGACTTCAGGAATCTAGGGTCCCATTGTCTTTGATCAGAACTGAATGTTGGGCCCCAGTATTGACAAGGAAGTCAACCAGGGTCCCCTCCACTTTCAAAGTTACCCAGATCTCGGGGAGCGGTCTCGAACCCTGACCCCTCTAATCACTTAGTTCTCCGAGTTCTAACACAGAGACCAGGTCTTTCTGCTCTAGGCCTCTCCTCTTAGGACACTCGCAGGCCCAGTGCCTGCTCTCCTTTGAGTATGCACATTGGTCTTTGCGGAGATGGGGCCTATTACCAGCTGGTGGATAATACACCAAGCCACATACACCAAGGGTAGCAGGTTCGAACTGGCCCAGGTCAGCTAAACAACAATGACAACTGCAGCAAAAAGTAGCCAGGCCTTGTGGTGGGTGCCTGTAGTCCCAGCTACTTGGGGGCTGAGGCAAGAGAATCACATAAGCCCAAGAGTTTGAGGTTGCTGTGAACTGTGATGCCACAGCACTCTACTGAGGGTAACATAATAAGACTCTGTCTCAAAAAAAAAAGATACAATGAAAAGAAATGAGAGCATCTGGATCTGTTAATAATTGCTTTTGCCAGCTCGGCGCCTGTGGCTCAAGCAGCTAAGGCGCCAGCCATATACACCTAAGGTGGCGGGTTCGAATCCCCAGCCCGGGCCCGCCAAACAATAATGATGGCTGCAACCAAAAAATGGCCAGGCATTGTGGTGGGC